TAAGGAGACAAGTTAAACGACTGACTGACAGTAGATTAAATGGGCAATTAGATACATATAGGACAAAAGTAACAAAGAGAGATGGTAGAATTTGAACAGTACCGATCCCTTGGGATCGGGTTTGAGAACCATTTGCGGCAATTATACTCGGTAAGAAAGCAGAGGTAGAAAGGGAAGAGAATTTTTTTTTATTATCAGTAACATGATCAGACGCACCAGAGTCAAGGACCCAAGGACCAAGAGGAGATGATTGAGAGACGCAAACAGATGAATTACCAGTGTGTGCAATCGAAATCGTGGAATCCGTTGTCTGGTTAGTCTGACACCATCTGAGAAAATCCCCGTAGTTTGGCGTAGGGCTCTGAAGAGAAGGCGAAGTGTCTGGCGTAGTGTCTGGGTTATCAATTTGAGCTGCATTTACCTACCGTGGAGGTTTTCCATGCAACTTCCAGCAACGATCGATAGTATGTCCAAGCCGGTTATCTCCCATGGCTTAAAACACAACAACTGGGGCTGTTTGAACAAGAGTATGACTTTCTGTGAGTCGAAAACGAAAACCAAGGGCGGATTTGAAACCGGAGGAAGAAGGCGATTTTCCGGCAATTTTTTTTCTCGTGAACAGTAGCGGCGACGATGAACAGTGTGGCGGCGGTGAACACTAGCCCCCCGAATTTTTTTTCTTTCCCATGGGCAGTTCGGCGATGGAGGTCGCTGGAAAATTTTAAAAAAAAAGAGGCAAACCGGAATGATGACACGGTTTGCAGAAGAAAATTTCTCATCGAAAGACAATGCGTCAACCGGATAAAACACGGCAAAGAATTGCCTCTTAGAAGCCTCACTTGACTTGGTTTTAATTTCTGCCTTTATTAGGCGTTTTGCTTTAGTTTTGAGCGGTTAAGACTCATCTTTTACCTTCTGCTCTTGGTGGTTAAGCTTTGGTAGCTTCTGCCTTATGCAGTGGTTAATCTTATATTTGCTTATGTTAAGTAGTTTAGCCTTGAGTTATGGGTTCTACTTAATGGTCAAGCTACTATCAAGTTATTCATTATGAATGATATTCATGGTATTACATAACTTCAAAATGGTACCTAGAGCTTGATTCAATCCTACCTGACATGTTCTGTTGCTACTCTGCTGTTGAGTTCCCGTAAGTTTTGGAATATAATGACAATTGTATTCAAAATGGTTTCCTCTTTTCTATTGTGATCTGTGACCGTCTTAGTTAAACCTTGTTTGGGACACCATCCGGCTCAGGAACCCACTTATGAAGGTTTCTTTACTGCTGATTGAGTCATTAGTGTTTCTTAACTACTACCCTTTGTTCCGTCTCACTCGGCTTGGTTTTAGCTACTTCTTTAGTAGGTGATTAAGCTCTGATATTTTTGTTTTTGTCTCAAGTAAGATGCATATTTTTCTCTCAATGGTTAAACTTTGGTAGCTTCTGAATTATGTGGTAGTTAAGGTTGTTTTATTATGTTAATTGGTTAAGTCTTAGAGTTATGAGTTTTGCTTAATGGTTAAGTTTCTATCAAGTTATTTTATCAATAAATATTCAAACCCTTATTTTTTTCTCCTCTTTTTATTTAAAAACTAAAACCCTTAAGTTCAACGGTTAATGCTGCTCATGCACAATTTATACTTTATGCAAATAAACTATATTACATATATGTACAATAATTTATCGCAGACCAAGCTATGTATATTATTTATGCAGGTTTGACATTTCAATTTTTCTTGTTTTTGGATAGGTTATTCCTTTCTCAAGAGGGACTGCGTGGGAGCAACCTCCACCAGACTTGGCTTCTTACTTGTACAAAAATCGAATTATTTACTTGGGCATGTGTCTCGTTCCAGCTGTCACAGAGTTGATGGTTGCTGAATTTCTTTACCTTCAATATGAGGATGAAAAAAAGCCCATTTATCTGTACGTAAACTCCACTGGGACAACCAAGGTAAATGATGTATTTTTATTTTGGGTTTAAATATGTACTATCTAGTATAGTACACATTCTGAACACTATTATAAGCAACTTTTACTTTTTTAGTACATTTGATTATTAATGTATTTGGTCTATATATGGGCCAAATACATTGGTAGTCAAATGTACCAAAAAAGTAAAAGTTGCTTATAGTAGTGTCCGGAGGGTGTACCAGGTAGGGATGGAAATGGACCAGGTTGCCTATTGGGAAATCTATGACCTATCCTACATTAGATCTAGACAAGGCCTAACTTATTTACTAAAAAACTAGGCCAAAGCTTTTCTTAAAGCTTATTTTGCTACCTACTAGTCAATTTTTACCTCGGAGACCCAGTGAGGCCTAATCTTTAAATAGCATAGCTACCCGAGGTTATCAAAATCAATAAAACCTACGACATTTCTTTTGTGTATTAAAATGTTTAAGTTACTTTTGAGTAAAGAGCCGCCTAATTTCAGAAAAATATAACAATGACAGCAGCAACCATTAAGACTTATCCTGCCAGTTGTGTTGGCTACGCCTACGTTAATATACATCATTGGGCTATAGCGCTTTCATTTCTGGCTTCTGACATGTGCTTTATCGCTCCATTTTTTTGCCCAGCAAAAAGATCCACAATTAGTTCTTATCAGATACTAAAACAATGGTGCTCAAACTCAAGTTTCCATGAAAAGATCCATTTGCTTAACAGAATATTGTTTCCTTCTTTCAGGGAGGTGAGAAGTTGGGTTATGAGACTGAAGCACTTGCAGTTTATGATTTAATGAGGTTATCACCTCTTTAACCCTGTCATCTATTTTCCTTAATCATACTTTTGTTGGGTCTCAAACTTTTTACTGGATATAGGTCATTAGAAAATGTTTAACTGCTTCAACTAACTGGCTAAATGCTAAATTAACTTTTTTTCTTGAAGTTACTGTTGTCTATGTTTTGTCATGATTTATGAAGCATATATTTAACAAATAAGAATGAGCTTAGAATGAGGTCTATAATCTATTAATGAAGATAAGTTGTATTTTCTAGAATTTAGTTTATTTTTAGGCATAACAGTTAACAGTGTACTGTTAAAAAAACAGATACAGCGTTCTATTCTGTAACCTAATGCCAATCTGTTTTCGAAAATGTTAATTTACTCGGTTTTGCACCTGTCATAGTCATGCCACGCTGCAGGCATGCTACTTGGTGGAGATTTTGTACTTCCATACTGCTTATCTTCTTTCTCTATTTTGCTTGTTTTATGGATTCATATATCTCCCCATAGTTGTTAGAAATATGATGTCAATATCTATTGGTGGTTTTTAAGTGGATAACTGGACTTAATGCCAAATATTTATCAATGGAATAATTATATTTACCCTTCTCTGCACAGCCCCAACCCCAATGAATTGGCATTCTATCTCTATCGTGTAACCTGTTCCCAACTTGTAGAAGTCCCTGTAGAAAATTTGTATTATTATTAAACCTAGCTAACTAATTCTGGTACAGATATATCAAATCTCCTATTTTTACTCTCTGTGTTGGCAATGCTTGGGGAGAGGCAGCCTTACTTTTGGCTGCTGGTGCAAAGGGTAACCGTTCTGCTTTGCCATCATCAACTATAATGATAAAAGAGGTTTGATCTTAACCATTTGATACTATACTAAGTTTATTTTATGTGTTTGATTATCTTTTTCCAAACACCTTAACCTTGTTATCCTTTTCAATTTGCAGCCAATTGCACGGTTTCAAGGTCAAGCATCAGATGTCAACATTGCAAGAAGAGAAATCACGAGAGTGAAGACAGAATTGGTTAGAATAATAATTGTTTAGTTTACTTCAATCTAATTTAAACAGTTAAGGTTCTGTTGTAAGCGACCATTGCCATTTGTAAATCTAAGCTATGTAGACAAATGCATACGTCTCTGCTTGTACTTCACTGAAATATCAAAATGAAGTTTGCAAGCAAAATATTTTTTGGGCTCCCTTCAACCACAGAAATTGAGATTATGAATAATGACTTGTGTTTTAAAAGTATGTGTTTTGAAGTATGGACTCTTACAGTATTTCAAGATATCATCCGTGACAAAGATTGATATGAAGATTATTATGGTAACTAACATGCACACTGTTTGATTTATTTCAAGATTAATTTGTTAGCCAAACACACTGAAAAAACACCTGAGCAGATTGAAGCTGATGTTCGGCGTCCAAAGTATTTTAGTCCTACTGAAGCTGTTGAGTATGGAATCATAGACAAGGTATTTTTGCCATACCTTTGTTAGACTGTTTTTTTTCTTGGAGTCAGTTATTTCCTTTACAAACAAAAATAAAGAGTCTTTTTGCAGGTATTGTACAATGAGAGGGGCTCTAAGGATCGTAGCGTTGTTTCTGACCTTAAAAAGGCACAGCTTATTTGACTTCCAGGAGATTAAACCCTATTTTCTTGAAGTTTAGGTAATGTACATCTGGTGTCATTGTCTTATTAAAAATTGAATGCAACTTCAACATTTAATAAATTTATCTAAGTAGAAGAGCGAATGTTCCCATTAACCAACACTATCTAAATAGAAGAGCGAATGTTCCCATTAACCAACACTTTTAATGCTGTGGTTCTTCATTATTGTTTTCTTGGTTGTTTGTGGTGTCTAGCAACTTGATGCATGTGAAGCCAGGGTTGGTCAAATAGGCTATGACCTGTTTTTATCCTTTTATCCTTCCCACTTAGTGTTATGCATTGCTTTTGGTATTTGCTACTATAAAATGGGTATTTGGAAATGGTCTAATGACTGCACCAACCATGAGTTAACGTTTCATTTTTGTGTAAAAGTAAAGTCCTAAAGCTCTAATGTTTATAAACTTGTTTGGGAAAATCATCATCCTTTCAATCGACCTCTCACTCTAAAATGACCCGAAGAGTAATTTTTAAATTCTGTGGTAATTCATTACCGGGACATGTGTAATTTGTTGCCTGCGTGATATGTTTTTCTCTAGGAATAGCTCCTGATCATGATTCATGTTTACAGAAATTTGCTTGGAAATGTAGATCAGCGAAAATGAAGGACATAGGAGATCAGCAGCCAAACGATACAACTGTGCCAAGTCCTGGTACAGTTAACCTGAAACCTTGTAATCTCATGTTTATAACACCATAGACTGCATTTGCGTCCCCTAAGAAAAGGTAGTAGGAACAAATATCTACGTGTTTGTAAAATGCTGTATACATGGTTAAATTCTGGTTTATTCAAATTTGAAATTTTATGAATGGTTGTCTCACTACGTGAAATAAATGCAACATAGAAATGCACTACAGAAGTGCAATAGCGAGCTGTGAGAGTAGAATAAAAGTTTCTAATGGCATAATTATGAGTAAATTTGAGTGGAGCATTTAGCGTTTTAATGAAATAATGATTGAGTTTCAAATACAAAGCACTGTAGTTGTAGTTTTTAGCATATCAGTTATCAACAGCTGCATGTTAAGCTCTGTTTGCAACTTGGGAACTACCACATGGATGGCTTGGCTTAAGAAGCACCTACTTCAGTCCCACTTATTTATATGAATCATGCCGACACGTAACGAATATACACGTGGTAGTTAAATATTTGTATTTTACAAGTCTCACAACATTTAATCTGTCTCTGGCATTAGAAAAATAATAATGGGAGACCACTCCTAGTTCTTCTACTTGGCAAGATGGCGGCAGGTACAAGATAAAGTAACTAAATCACGGTTTATTATACTCCCTCCGGTTTCATATATAAATTATAATTAATAAAAATTTAATTCACAACATTTTAAAAGATGTAGTCAATCTTATTATATTTTGTAATCAAGAGTATTTAGATGAGATGATAAGACTTTCTTTCATTTTTAATAAGAGATTTTGGATTCAAATCTTGGAAGTACTTTGTCGTGTATAGTAGTCCTTAGACCTTTTTAACATGAGATATTAGTTTTAGAAAAAGTAGTTTCTCTCTCTGTTCTATTTGACATTTGCTTTTATAGATTTATTTATTTATTCATTTACATGTTATTTTTAAAATTCAATTCAAGTATTGTTTTCTCAAAAATAATTATAACTACCAACAACAGAAAAAACAGATAGAATGAGACATAACTAAATAACTAAATTATTCACATGTAATCTCCAATTTGACCATAATGAGAATGATTTTGAAAGTGTCCACGATGAGTTACAATATATGATCTCAATATTTTCACAATAAAATTGTGCTTAAATAAATAGAATCTCATAATAAATGTGTCATGGTTAAAAAATGACTAAAATAAAATCTCTAATTATTTTATCATAATTGAACTATAATTAACATATACAAGACATCTTAAGATTTAAAACCACCATAGTTAACATACACAAGACATCCTAAAATCTAAAACCACCTTAATTATAGTTACCACTTTGGTCATTGTCAACTACCACTTGTAGGATTAGAAATGAGTTGAGTCGAATTCACTTCAATTTGGTTCGACTCGTTAAAAATTGATTTAGCTTAAATTTTGGTTCAACTTCGACATAAATTTTTCTTTAAGTTTAAATTTGACTTGTTATACAAAAAATTCAGTTTAATTCGACAGATACAACTCGTTTCTTTCATGGATTAAAAAGTCATTTTAAAAAAAAAAATTTAATATTTTAAATTAATATTTAAAAAAATTGAAATAAAATAAAAATTATCAGATTAGAATTCAATTTTGTCTCTGAAATCTATAATTCAAAAACTACACAACTTTTTAAAAGATACATTTAAAAGTCTAATTAAAAAATTATTCAGTTGGAGTTTAAATTTATCTCAAAAATTCAGAACTTCATCAAAATATTTAGGAACCTTTCAAATTTAATAAAATAGTGTACCAAAAACTACTAGAAATTGATACATTCCCATCATCGAATGATTATACCACTTGCAACTTTCATTACCCATGTTATTTTAGGAATGCCATTATGCCTCCAACAAGGATGACTTTAAATGCGATTGTCAACTTATAACTAGCACGGAAGAGACAACATACAAAACGCAAGATGATATATATATATATATATATATATATATATATATATATATATATATATATATATATATATATATATATATATATATATATATATATATATTGATTTTGATTGAGCTTACATTTGTCCTACGAGCGAGAAGTCCAAAGACAACCCAAGTTAGGGACTGTGGGGCAACTCCCCATCCAACCATTGGGGGACGTGGTCCACGACCTCTTGACAGACATTCCAAACTGTCCTCTGGGAATCTTAGATCCATCCCTATTCTCGCGGAGCAGTTGATAAGGGGGGAGTCCACTTGCTGGACTCCATACACACGTAAACCCTGGCAGTTCCTGTTATTGGGCCTCCGCGTGGTCCAATAGTGGGGACCTTGGCCCAGCGCTGAGAGCTATAAATACCCTCTCTCACAAGAGGGTCGGGTATTCATTCATACATCTCAAACTCTTACTTTCTTGCTCATTCTGCTTCTCACTTTACCATCACAGTGTCTTGCAGGTACCACCCATCTCATTCAAGTTCAGCCCGAAGCCAACTGTGACGGTCCATTTCTGATTCGGTAAGATCAGTGGCGCCGTCTGTGGGAACCTAAGCTTCCCCGTCTTCTATTCACTTGAGACCAAAGCTAAACAAGCATCGACTATCATGGCTGACCAGACTCAGGACAACCAGAACGTCCGTGTCATCGACATTAACAACAACATCGCCGACAGCAATGCCGACCTCGACAACGCCGGTACCGCCGGCCATAACACAGTCCCTGACGTCAACATGCCTGAACCTTCTAACTATAGGGACGGAGCCACCGCTTCATCTTCATCCATGCCGCCTCGACTTGAAGAAGATCGACCACCTCCCCTAAACTATCCACCCGTCCAATTTCACGAGGTCCCCGTCCCCGCCGGGGCAGACGCCACGACCAGGGCATTGTTCGCGGTAATCAATCAAACCAACTATCTAATATTCTCTCAGGGGGAAAGACTGAGGGCGCTCGAGGACGATCGAAGGCCCCCGAGAAGACACAAGAGATCTCAATCTCCTCCCCCTCGAAAAGCGAATGAACATCCCCAATCTCCCCCGCGGAGACAGAATCGGGACATCTCTCGAAGCCCGTCGCCCCGACCACTCGGGCGACGACCCCCTTTGGAGAGGAAACAACTCGTCAACGCAGGAAGGCGCGACCATGTCCCCTCGCGGCAAGAACGAAGACCCCCCAGAGACAGGCATGGGGGAAACCATCAACGGTCATACCGCCCAAGGAACGCTTCGCGCGACCAGGGCCACCGTGACCGCCACTACATCAGATCTCCGTCTCGCTCTCCCGAACGGAGTGACGAGGACGACCCCCGCAGTCCCTTGTCACAAGCTATCATGGAGGCGCCCATTCCCCCGGGCATGGAGAAGCCTCCCCACTTAAAGGATTACGAAGGCATCGCCGACCCGATCGACCATATAGACGGGTTCGAAGCCATGTTGCACTACCACAACGTCGGGGGACCAATCAAGTGTCGGTTGTTCCCCACGACTCTGAGGAAAGCAGCTATGGATTGGTACAAAGGTCTCGCCCCAGGATCAATTACCTCTTGGCGAAACCTGAAGAACCAGTTTCATCAGCTCGTTCACTGCTTCGCGACGACACCTAAAGACTGAAGCATCGCTCGAGGCCATCGTCCAGAGACACGATGAGACCTTGAGAGAATTCATTGACCGCTTCACCCGGGAAGCCATCCAGGTCCCCTGCACGGACCATATGAAGTGGTACCTGCTCGAGAGGGGGATCTTCTCGGGCACCGAATTCAGAAAAGCCGTAGGCATCGAACCATCCCGGACGTTCGATGCTCTCCTCGAGAAGGCCAGGGCCTATATGGACTACGAGGAGAGAGAAGCGGCCAACAGAGCCCGAGATCCCAGGAACCACGGATCCAGCGGTAATCCGCGACAAGACATCGCCCCTCCTCGACGAACTGGAGAGAAGAGAAGGGACGATAAACCCTGAGACGCTTGGGAACAAAGGGGGCCCTCAGGGAGGTTCACTGAATACACTCCGCTAACGGCTTCCCGCGAGCGCATCTTAGAGGAGTGCGCAAGTACAGACTTTAAGGACGACGGCGTGAAGCGTCCCCTCCCCGCTCCTGCCAAACCCGGGGTAGACCGAAGCAAATACTGTCAGTATCACCGGAGCCACGGGCACTTGACCAAAGACTGCGTCCACCTCTAGGACGCCATTGAGACCCTCATAAAAGGGGAAGACTTGTACAATATCGGCGAAATGACGCTCCTCGTCTGGATGCCCGTGAGACGAGGGAAGTAGAAGAGGATGCCCGACCATCTGACGAGTCAGTTCCCATCCAAACCGCATTCTCCATCACAAGACCCGAGGACTTCTACGTCCCCGAACATCTGCAAGAGCCCCTGTCTACGCACAACAGGTGGGAAAACTTCCCCTTCGCCATGGTCATAAATGGTGGATGATTTAATGATTTGACCATAAACTCAGTTAAGAGAAAGCTGGATGAGCTGGTCGACGCGGCTCCCCCGTAAACGGTGACATTCGAAAGGGTGAAAGGCAGATCAAAGCCGATCACCTTTTACCTCGAGGATCTCCCCAAGCGAAGAAAAACTGAGGTTGAGAGAACCGCTTCACGCCACGAGCAAAGAAAAGATTGAGAGGAAACTTGAGAAGGTGACAAATGAGTCCTAAGGGCCCCCTTTTTATAGACGACCCACGCCCCAAGGGATCCCATACGAAGGGTCATCATCTTATTGGCCCCTTTTGCTTTTTCCTTGAAGGAGTGACACCCTAAAGCACTAGCCACGTGGCTCAACTATCAACCACGAAGTCCCTTCTGGACTGGCGAGCATACACCCGACTCCTACATGTCACCCCCAAACGTGTGGGGCAAACACTTACACGAGGAAGTGCTCGGCACTAGAGTGCACGAAGGGGCACATCTATTTAACCATCTCGAGGACGAGGAAATGCTCGACAAACTAACAACTCCCAGGAAGCGGGCATGTCAAAGGGAACCTCGTTGAGGCTCCCCGCCACCAATATGTCCCCTCGAGCAAGTGGTTGAACCCTTCGGTCCCGATCCCCGTTTGTCCATGATATTCCCCGATCTATTTAACCATCTCGAGGACGAGGAAATGCTCGACAAACTAACAACTCCCAGGAGGCGGGCATGTTAAAGGGAACCTCGTTGAGGCTCCCCGCCACCAATATGTCCCCTTGAGCAAGCGGTTGACCCCTTCGGTCCCGATCCCCGTTTGTCCATGATATTCCCCGATGTATTCGAGCCTGGCCCCCCCGCGGACAACGACCCGCTCCCTTCAGGGACTTTGGCCTTCTACCTCGACCAAGTCTTCGGTAGCGAGAGCTGAACTCAAGT